CCTGCATTCGTCACTTCGGGCTTTCTGCAAGTATAGGCAATTCTGTCTCAAGCAGGATTCGAAGTGTTCCCCGCCGCGTAGATGCTCCTCCATGAAGTTCCATGAGGTCAACGTATCCCTTCGGGGCTCGGCACTCCTTGGCGTCTCAAGCATCGAAGCAGTTTTCATGGAGAACGAACAGCCAAGCGCAGAACGAGGATCGCCCTCCTGAGGTGATGTAGGCATCGACTTCATAGATTGGCACGACTGAAATCACATTAGACTGGGTGTCCAACACAATCGCTTGTGCGCTGCTCTCCTAACATCAAACCGAGCAGCTGACCCGAACGCCAAGGGCATCCTCTTTCCAACTACAGGTGCTTCCCCGCAGGCCACCGCACTCTGCACGTTCCGTCTCGCAACACCGGCATCTTTGACCTCTGTCTGACTCTCGACCTTCCATTGCACTGCACCGCCTTTCAACCGCACCCGCACGTTTCCTTGCCGTTGTATAGCGCTGCGCTGCAGACAGCACTACACACGTACTCATACTCCTGGCAAACAGCAAGCGAGCCAGTCTGGCAACAAGTTCGAGCAAGAAAAACGAAGGTGTCCGAGATTGAAGTGTAAGAGTATTGTTGAACCCAGCTTGAATTTGTTGGACTCCCCTGGAGCTCGACGGCGTTGCCATGGCAGCATTTTAGCTTTGTGGCCCTCCGCTCCACTCATGAGAAGCTGTCCCCTGCTCTCTTGTGCACGGCCATCGAAGCCGTGTCGAGCACTACGATGAAAACGGGAAAACGCACAGATGAAGCCTGTCCTTCTTGCTCGTGTCAATAGGGATCCACCTGGCTGGAGCAGTCAGGAGCCATACAGATGACTCACTCTAACACCTTCTGCTAGCAGCGTCCCAACCGATAAACAATCAAGGACGACAGCCCCTGATCCTCGTACTCCTGGACATTGATACCTTCAATCACAGTCCCACAGTTGGTAGTTGGCGTCACGGATGCACCAACTCTGTGCCGCACACCTCGAGGTGTCAGCCCAGCTGCCGTCGCAGCTGCTGCTGCATGTTGTGCCCGGGAAGGACTCTGACCTAGTCTCAAGAGCACCCTGTGGCTGTCACTGGCACGACTGCAACCCGAAAAAGCCACTGAAGACCCGTTGTGCTTGGAGTCCGACGCTTCCATGACCTTGTACTGCCTGCAAGATTGCAAGATCTCTGATCGGACAGGCTTGAGTAACACTCGCACCACCAGCAAACCTGGACCAGAAGGCATTGCTCGAGCTGCATGTTCAAGGGGAAGATGCAAACCTGCACAAAGTTTACTGCAAATCAGTCGACTACCCTTGCAGAAATGTGCCTGGCATTACGATGCTGGCACCGGAGTCTCGGAGAATCTCGGGCCTCCGCGTAACGGGCATATGTGAAACGGAAGCAATAAGGAGCCGATTTGGCAGAAATCCGGGCTATGTGCGCAGAGTCTCCTTCGGGTAGAAAATCATGCTCAGAAGAAGACGACGATGTATGCCTCTTGCCGAACTGGAGCGGGCAACAGAATGTGCGGTCTGCAGTACACGCAAATGTGATATAAGTGAGGCGCTTCACCTATCACACTAGGTGCACTTTTCCTCGGGACAGCCCGGCCTGCCTTCTCAGCCTATCAAGCCCTACGTGTACTGTTAGGTGTCGCTTTCCTGTCGCAGACGGCTCACCATTTGGATTCTCTGAATAGGACGAATTAGGAGTGTAACAGCTTAGCAGCTTAACGAAACGGGCCAATGACTCAGCTCATCACTTACGAATACAAGCGTTTCTGGACTCGTGCCCTGCAACCCTGCGCTGAGCGGCTGCTACTGGTAGTGACGCTGGATGTGCGCTCTGCCATTGCATGAACGGCTTGCCGTCGCCTGGACTGGGCGGCTGTAGACGCATGAAACTCCTGCAGGCTGACAGCTGTACAAAGCACCAGGCAGAGATGGCACAGCGAGTCCTGCTCTGCTTGCATCACTGGATGTGTCAGTGGATGAGGCCCATCGGGCGGTGACCTGTGCTTTCGTGTTTCCGGCTCTGCCTCTCGCCTGGGGATCCGCTGCCCCGCTGCGGCACATCCAACATTCTCCCTTGGCTCCGGACTGCATCGGCCCGCCGCGCACGCTCATGCAGAGAAGCTCCTTCGATCGAGTCTTGTTTCGAACGCAACGGCAGCTTTCGGACAAACCATGCATGTCTTTGTGGCAGCTCAGAATTTGAGAGAACAAATGCAAACGCTCATTTCTAGGCAAGAGCACTTGCCAAATCTATGCAGGATGTAGTCGTGGTCTTGCTCTGGCAACGAACCGAATGGGAAGCTTGTTTGATGTGTCGAAGCCGGTAAGCCTTGACGTGACAAACAAATGCTTCTGAGCCTCTGAGCTTCTGCGACCTTGATCTTCGGGTGCTTCAACGCTTTTTGCGGCTCCTCCAGGAACTACCTGCCAATGTCAGCTTCTGTTATGTTATGTTTGTCGCTTTTGTACGCATGGGCCGTGGAATGTAGTTAGCTACTCATGAACACCTACTTACATGAGCCTTGGTTTCAACCATGTGCCAGGATGAGGGCTGGACAGAATTCAAGAGTTGCACAGAACGTCATACTTACGAGCAGTCCCATGACGCTCTCATCGGGAATTGTTGTCGCAATCCTACAGGCTACCAACTGGATAATCTACATTGCTGCACATGCTTGCCGCTTGCACTTCGCTTCAGTTGCTTCACGGCATCTGGATGCCGATGATGAGAATCATGAGGGACAGAAAGAGACCGATCTAAGGGAAAACAACACGTGAATGTATCGCCCGTAGCAGACAAGGGCAGCATGAGTAGAGACAAGGGAACGCCATGAAGGGCAGATAGACACTGAATATGGCCGAGCTTGATTACAGCATTTGGCTCCCGGGCATGCGAGACTATTTCTCGAAGCTGTCTTGCTCGGCCGAACATCGCAAGCAAAAGCCGATCTGCCAAACAAAGAACAAATTAATCACAGCATAAAGGAAGACGGAGAAGAACTGGAGAGTCAGGACAGGTTCCCAGGAGAAGTGTCCCGGCCCAGGGAGACAAGGGAGGCGAAGACAGTAACGGAGATGCACGCCCGGAGAATCTTTAGAGAAAACATTATAGCATCTGGTGCCCGTGCAAGGCCTGGGCGAAGAATGGGAAACCAGGGAGACAAATCGAAACACGTCCGGGCTTCATTCTGGTTGCCTGCCTGCTGCCCAGGCATGCAACTTTGGCCGCCTCTCTGGCTGTAGAGCAACGACACGCTATATGCAGAACCTGACTGTGCAATCGAAAAGCAATGGCCTGACCAAGGCATCGTAGACAATGAATCCACAAGAAGTGATCTGGATTTGTTTTCTTCGGAGTCGCTGCCGCTCGAGGACTGAGCCAACTCCTGAACGAATTTGACGAGGCAACCGTTGGCACACAAAGCAAAAACTTGATGGCAGCCTCCAAACTGTGCAGACCTGACCAAAGCCGAACAAAGGCAGTTCATGGCAATTGACACGGTGACAACTGTATAGGCTTGCCTGCCAGGCCCGCATCTGTCTCAGCGTTGTCGCGTGAAAGCCTGAATTCTGGAGCGCAGCACTTGATTTCATGCCCACGCATGCCTGCTGATGTCGCCTCCTCTCTGACGACGCAGCCTGTGTTCCTGCGAACGGACAAATCGGAAAACCCAACCCAATCGGGACGTCAACAAGCACGAGGCCAACGAGCCTGCGAATGAATCAGGCAGCTCCTGCTGCAAAAAGCCGTCGGAGCTCTTTGTGCCAGCTCCCTTACTGCCGCCCTGCCGCTGCCCTGCCTCATTGGATGGCAAGCCACGGCCGTGGCCTCGAAGCTTTCCTAACCGTTTGCACTCCGCCCTTGGCACCTCTGCTCCGCCGCCGGCCTGCTCGCCAGCTTTCTGTGCCGTCGGCGACTTCTTCCTCTTCAAGACCCTCCAGGTTCCCACCCTCTGCCTCCTCCTCCTCCTCCTCCTCCTCCTCCTCCTCCTCCTCTCCTTCCTCCTCCTCCTCGTACTCCTCCTCTTCCTCCTCCTCGTACTCCTCCTCCTCGTCTCCGAAGTTGGCTTCCTGATCAGCACTTTGATCTGGCCTCTCGGGCTGGCCAGCTCTTATCGCAGAGCTGTCTTCACTGAGCTGGCGAAGCAGCTCATTGACCTCACGGAAGAGCTTCACAGCCTGCTGAAGTCTTGATCCCCTCAGTAAGCTCTGAGACTGCATTGTAGGATCGCAGCATCAATGTCGCTCTCCACATCAGCCCTACTGACCATGAGGAGTCCTGGAAGAAGGTCACGCAAGGCAAGGCTTTGCAAAGGCACGTGAAGTATTTCGTCCAGGCCTGAACAAACTCAACTCGCGCTGATGCCAACATGGCTGTGCATTCCGCCAGATTGGTTTGGCTGCAGGATTTGCAAAATGCATACTTCAGTTCGACATCCTGACTGGAGGCTTGCACAATGCGACAATGCCTCTGCCATGCTTAAGCTCGCATGAACATGTACGTGCAAGCAATTACATTTCAGAACTTGTCAGATCTGTCAGAAATAATTGGTGCCCGTATCGATGTTTCCCACGTGATCGAGCCTGTGGTTACACTGCAACTTCTCTGCTGAATACCCGTGCCTATGTCATGCTTAGCTGCTGAGTGCTCACCCAGGACGTTCTAGCAAGCTGCGCTACTCATGAACTCTTGGAAACAGCAGATCGAACTTTATCACACGATCGGCGTGAGGAGCATCTTTGGGAATCTTTGTTCCGCTCCTCATCCCCGAGGCGGAAAACAGAACATCAGCTCTCTGCCAGCCTGCCTGGTTTCTGCACGAGCGCTCTGAACTCATCTAGTGGCATGTCAAGCACGACTCGACATGCATGCACAGGCTTTACTGGCTCGAGTATTGAACGATCTACAATCTACAAGCTCCCAAGATAAAACGGAGCCCTCTCAAGAAGCTGCCGCCGAAGCTGTACTACCTCACAAGTGGATGCGCAAGTCGGGAAAGAACTCTGCAGACTAGCAGAAGACAGCCTGCTGCAGCCAAAACCCATGTGATCGCAACACCACTCCCTTTGGATTGAGGACCTGGGTTAGCACTGCGAGTCCCTTCCCGGGAAGAGCTCACCACCTTCACCTGCTCAGATACGAACCACCCTTCTCGGAGATGGAAGTCAGAACCTGTGGTGCTGGGCACGTCAACGATGCTCGCAAACAACACCATTGCCACATCTTGCGCATGATGGGCATCACCAGAGCAACAACTACCGGCCGAAAAGACTCAGAAAAACGTGTAGACGCACGAACTTGGATGAACTGCCGTAAGGACGAAGCAATCGTACTCACAGCCGAGGCGATGATGCCTTGCCAGGTCTTGGCAATGTATACTATCCCCCAGGATAGATTCCGATCTGCGAGCCGGCCGAGCCTGCAGCACCAATCCTTCCGCTGGTCTGACCAAGAGCTTTGCTGACTTGCGCCAGAGCCTGGACGTATCTGGAGGCTTGGAGGATTCTGTCACATGACGCCCCCCACAGCAAATTTGGAGCCCAGCAATTGTAGAGTTCGTGCATCGCCCCGCAGCCACGCTGCTCGTGCTTGCAACACCACTCCTGAAAGCGCACAGCACAGGTTCAGCCCCATTCGTTCCGGAGACTCTGAAGACAGGTGTCTTGTTTTGCTGATGGCCAAGACGATCCAGTACCTGGGCGCAGGCTGCGCGCAACAAGAGGACACCTGGCAACTCCTGAGAGTAGGGCTGCAGTCGAAACCTGAAACACGTGTTTCGGCTCAAGAAGAGGCCCGAAGCGAGATGTGGGCTCCAGACGTGGCGTCTCATCGCCAGGGCAACCGGAGCCCTTATGCTGACAGCACCACGCCTGTCAACAAAAGACGGGACACGGCAACCAGAGGGCACTCCGGAGTCAGGCTCGGGCCTTGCGCTCTGGAGACCATGAGGTCTTCCAGGTCGGCGACAGGCCTCAAATTCGTTTCGCGACTGTGCTCACATCATTGTGCGGCCACCGAGTCCGGAGCTGCAGTTAAAATCACACCCGCGGTGATAGTGCTTGCAACACCACGCCTGCCAACCGAAGTGGCTGAGGGGCCAGCGATTCAAAAGTCAGGCACAGGCCTTCTTGCCATCAGACCAGTGCGACCTCCAGTGGTGATAACCAACACCTTCGTTGGTCGTTTCGTTCGTTTCTTGCATATTTGCAGTGGTGGCCATGCTGTTGCTTCAGAAGGCACCACAATTGAAATCGTCATCGTCGTCAGGGCATCCCAGGTTCAGGTGAAGGCAGCACCACGCCTACCAGAGTGGCCCGAAGGGCCACGAAGTGTCGTTGCCTGACTTGATCTGAGTGCGACCTGCTTGCGAGGACTCCAGGTGACATCCGTAGCACCTGATGGTCGACATTTATTGAGAACACATAGGCCAGCGCAACAGAAAGGCAGCTGAGCGAGGCACTGCAATTGAAGGTGTGGATCGAGCCAGTACTGCACCCGACACGGTGATGACTGCAGCACCAATCCTGGCTCTGGTCCAACCCAGCCCATCATTTAAGCAAAAAGCACATGTCGCCTTCTTCTTTGCCGACCATCCCCTCTGCCAGTTCTGAGAACCAGCACCTTGCATCGAAGGTAAGCTTTCGGCCCGTTCGGCTGGCGTTATGGCTCTCGAGGCAGCGGCTGCAATCAAAGGGCTCCTGCACAGACAGATCTGAGATCTGACAAACCTGCATCCAACATCTTCTACGTCTCGAGCACCTCCACGCAGGCCAAATCGTAGTGCTTACAGCACCAAGCCTGTCGGGAACTATCAGCCCAGCATATACGGTGTACACATCGGCGAGAGCACATACGTCCCTGACAGGGAAGAAACATATGCGACGGAGCTCAAGGCCTTCTTCGGATTAGACCTCGAAACAACCAAGCAAAAGCAACACATCCCAGTCCACCGGCAACTGCAAGGCCCTCACCATCCAGCTCTCCAGTTGGAGAAGCCGGCATGGCAGTCGAATGCCAGAGAGGTGGAGCTCAGGCACCTGCATGCCAGACTAGTGACCAGTCAGCGCACATAGCCATGCAGGTCCATAAGCGTGTGTTGACATTAAAAGCCAATATCGCACCCGGTGCCAGCATGTCTGCAGCACCACTCCTGCAAGAAGCCAGCCATGGAACTTCCACAGGTCAAACCGTCAATGAAGGTATCATTCCAGGCCTTCTTTGAGAAGGTCCAGTCGGTTAGCCAATCTTCACTGCGGCTGCAATTGTACATGAAGCAGGCGCGATTGGCGTGCCTGGCAAAAGATCAACGATGGGATCCCTTGAACCTCTGTCCGCACTCGTGGTGTTACCCCCATGCTAGGGCCAAGTCCAAACCCTCAGGCGGACCTGCAACACCAAGTCTTCTTGTGAGCCGACCTGGCGGGCACTCAACTGCTCTGGCTCTTTCATGCACGGCGTCCTACCATCCTCTTCTCCAGTTGGCATACCCTGCGGAGCAGTCGAATGGGGCGGAGCTCGCGAAGCCTGGTCTTAGGAAGGAGAACAAGCTCTCGGCCAAGGAAAAATTCAGCTCTCGGCTTGGTGGAAACGTTCCATGCGGACAGCCACGTGCATAATGCGTGCAACACCTTGGCCGCCGAGCACTCAAGATTGGACTCGATGGCCCAGGGATATCTGAGGATCAATCCATACCTGCTTCCGATAGTCCCAGCGATGCCACCAGTCGTCGTAACCGACGTGGCAGTCGTACTGCGGTCGCAATGGCCTGTGCTATAAAGCTGACATGGGTAGCTGCAAGGTGAGCCAATCTCAGCTTCGAACTCAGAAGGCACTGGAGTCGATGTAGTCGTGGAGAAGCACATGCCTCGAAGTGTGCGCTTCAGTCTCATTCCATGTTGTCACCTTTCAAAGGCCTCTGTGATGGCAGCACCAAGTTTGCTGATCGAGAGGCCACTCCTCGCTTGGTAGTGCTACCTCGAAGGGAAGAGCGGCAGACCTGCCATGCTCCGCTCCGAAGAGCACCCCGGGGCCGCTGCCATTGATGACAGGAAGTCGTCTTTGGACAGGGAAGATTGTCCAGCTGGGATGAGCCTGGGGTAAGACGGCTAAGACATTGTCACTCTTCGACTGCTCTCGGGCCCTGACTGCAGCAACATCTGCGGAGGCAGTTTCGCCCAAGCCTCGGCATTCCGACCGATTTCCCACGAAAGACATCATGTGGTCCACTCGAGTTCGACGAAATCGCCAGGACGTGGATGCAAACAGCCTGTAAGCCCGGAAGCAGCCAAGAGAATGCCTCTTTGAATCCTTAACCTCCCAAGAGCATGTCTGGACACAGCGAGCACACGTGTCTGTGGACAGGAGGCATCAGAGATGAGAGCGATGGTCCTAGCAATAAGAGTTGCACTAAGATGGGGAGCGTGCAGTGCAAACCAGGAAAGAAAGCACCACAAGAGGTTCCGTGTGGTGCGCTCCTAGCCGGACACGGAGCGTGCCACACAGTCGGGGACAGACAACGGAGGGGTTAGGGTTTACGGTTCAGCAGCTCCGGATCGAGCATTCACTAGTCAAGCTGGTGGTTTCAGATTTAGAGGAAACTCGCCCGCCAAAGAATCCCATAACATTAAGAAAACATAAAGTTGTTTCACGTTCAAAAAACGTCAGAAAACCTTTCATATTCTCGACACAGCTTCAAGCTTTCTGGAACAAATCCTGGCTTAGCAATTGCCCGGTGTAACCTTTTCTTCTAGTGCGAACTAGTAGTTTAGGGTTCGACTGGCTACCGTCAGGAAACGTACATCTGAAAACTAGGAAGTTTAGATCTTGTCCACGAAGTGTCACGATAGCTGCAACTCTGGCACACGACATCGCCTCATGACAGCAGCGACAGCGATCAGCTTGTACGAGGTTGAAGTAGGTTCAGGAACTCACCACCACGTTACTACCGGCATGATATAATCGCTTTATCGACACCATTCAGTACCAGGACCAAACACGAAGCGAAAAGCCCGGAAGATGCTGCTGTTGTTAAACCCTAAAATTAATGTGTGTCGGCTATGGCGTGGCTAGGGTTTCGGCCGAAACCCTGATCACGGGTGCCATGGTTTTGGCCGAGACCGGTGATCAAGCTTTCGGCCGAAACCCTGCGTCCCTTTAGAGCAGGCGCACACAAAGGAAAACCAGCATCGCGATAGCGGCACCCGGCCTCATGCAAATGTGATGGTTTTCAGTTAGACTTCAACACAACAAAATCCATTCGACAAAACCTGGAACCCGAGCCGGTGGTCAGTCAGGGTTTCGGCAGAACCGGCGGATATGGAACTGAGGTTTAGGGTTTAGGGTTTCAGGTTTGCCGTGACAGAACGCACGTGACAAGGTGGTGTCGAGTGCATCGCATGAGCTGTCTAAGCCCATCTATAAAAGGCGTTTCCTGCTTTTCTCGCCCGTCTAAGGCGGCCAGCGGCCAAACGCGCTTTGGGTTTAACTGAGTTTATGGTTTAGGGTTTCCACGCGGTCAGGGAACCACGAGCACGGAAAGCTAAGCACGGGTGGAGCAGTGTTCAAAAGTGTGGCGCAGATTCTGCTTGTGTGGCGGGTGGCGCCGGTGAAAAAGCGCAGCAGGCAACCTTTCTCCGGCCATAGCAATGAAATCGCACAACTAGGTTCATCGCACCGCAACGCCCCCATCGGCTTGTATCAGCAAATGCCTAAATGTGCCTACGTGCGGTAGTCACAGTGCAGCCACAAGCCCAAGTTAGGCACACGCACTTTTTCCCCGAATCCGACGAGGTCCGAGAAGTGGCAGATCAGATCAAAATTCCGAGGGACCCGGGGCAGGCATAGCTCAGACAGGTCCGAAGACCGGTCGGAAATACGCCACCCCTCCTCGGATTGATCAAACAAGGGGTTTTACAACCCCCAATCCGGTCCGAGATAAAACTGATGACCCGGGAGCCCGAGAGTGAGAAGGTCCCGCAGAGCCGTACAGGAACAAAGCGCAGGTAATCGGCACCTGAGGCAACCGTACCTGGCATTCGTATACTGTTTGCAAGTAGGGCCCGAGAAAGGAGCCCTGGGCTATTGCTCCGATTTGAAAGCAAGGAGCTTGTCCAGGATCATCCAGCTTGGAGACCAGGAAAGGGAAACTTCCCTCCTATTTTTGGGGGAGAATCCTTCGAAATCAAAGTGAGTGAGCTGATCTGCCCACGTGTTTGAGCTTCTCTTGACATGGGTGACCTGAGCAAAGACACCCTTGTGGAACTCCTGTTGGGAGAGCTCCATTAAAAGCGCCGAGCAAGGCCACTTCGAAGATCTCTTGCTGGCAGAAAAGGCGTTACCCTCATTGTCTGTGGTAAGAGGGAGGTGAGCATCGACCATGCTGGGTCCCAGGGACTCCGCAGCTAAAAGGAAAAGAATGAGGGTACCCAGGAGTTCCAGGGCCCCAATCCGGCGCTTCGGAGAAGTGTGCGCCAAGAGGGGCTGAACCCATGGAGTGGTAAGGACGTCCATGGAGAACCACAGGACCTCCGCCTTGGTAGGGTTAAGAGAAGGCGAGAACCAGCCGCCAATTGCCACCCGGCCATCATCCTCACCGGCATCACTGCTCCCGTAGCATGGAGTGTTATGCTGCAGACGTAGAGGAACGCAGGGGCCAGCATCCAAGATGGAGATGAGCAGAGTTGCCAGGAAACGTACAAGGTCTCCCGGTCTGCATTTCCGTTCAAGTTTCTGCTCCCAAGCATAGAGTGGCTGGAGGTGGGAGCTCACCTGAGGGTAGGCTTTCGCCACCCACTGCAACTTGCCCAGTAAGGAGGTGACTTCCTTTCTGGTATGAAGTTCCCCTGCTGCCAACTTCGACAAGGCCGGTCGGAGGATGGTCATCTTTTCTTCCGGGAGCCACACAGAGCCCTCTGAGATGTTCACCATGTAACCCAGCCAGCGGTTGACCTTCCCAAGGGCATTCTTGTGCCAAGAGATAGGACAGCCCAACAACGTAAGGAAGAGCATGAGGGTGGCCGCCCCCAGTTCTCCAAGGCTCTCCTTCATAACCGCCATGAAATCATCAACAAAGGCCAGAAGCCACAGGAAGACCTCAGAAATCTGGTAGGAGAGGCGGGTGAGGATGGCAGCCAATCGGCCCCAGTAAAGCTGTGCCGAAGCCACCCCGTAGGTGCCGACCTTGTTGACCCAGAACTTCTTCTTGATCTTGGCCACCATGTACTTCCAGTGCTTCTTGAGAACTTTGATCCTCCGGTGGGCCTTGCTAACATCGGACTTGAAGAGGGTCAGGTCCTTAGACTTAAGATGGAGCCAGGCAAAAAGCAAGTCGTAGAGAGTCGGGGCCGTGGTCTTCTTGTCAGTGTTCGCCCTGATGTTGTCGTTGACGCCGTTGACGCCGATGACAGAGGCGTCAAAGATGGTCCTGACCTTGTCCAGTTCCTGGATGCCCGCCATGGCCCCGACACACAGTTCTGCAACCAACAGGCACAGAGGTCCGCTGCCTCCTGTTCCGACAGGGGCCCAGCCACCATGTCGAGGAGTTTCTCTTCCAGGAAAGTTTTCTGTCCTCGAAGACCTCCGCGCTGGGGTAGTTGTCGGCAGTAGTGGGAGCCGGGGGCTCCAAATCCCTAGGTGCATTTCCCAGTTCCTGCTTGGACGGCCATATGTTCGGGTCCGGAAGCGTTGGGCCGTCCACCCCGAGAGGCACTCCTTCATGAAGGTGTTGGAGGAAGTCCCGGTCCGGGTCCTCCACCAGCCCTACCAAAGCTTGGAGAATGTCCAACGCAAACGGCTGCCCAGGCGAAACCTCCGCTGAAACAGGTCGGTGGAGTCGGGAAGAGAGGAGTGATGCCAGTTGTTGGCGGAGGTCTGCGACCCACTGGTCTGGCCAGGGGCAGCCCCGCGCCTGGGTCCTGAGCGGCCGAAAGGACGTCATCGGAGATACCCTAAGGGGAATCGGCACCTGTGGCAACCGTCCCGAGGTGAGTGTCTCCTCGATCCAATGGCCAATCCAGGCCAACTTGCATTTGTCCCTGTCTTCAGGCTTGAGTCTCCCAGGGGATGGCTTTCCACCACCATCCCTGAAGGGGCGAGAACGGTGTCCCAGCCGGACAATTAGGGTACTAGCTGCCACAGGAGCCAATGCCGAAGCAATGGAACGGTCACCATCCGTGTCCCCGGATGTTGAGAAGAAAGCTAGCAGGGCCGTGGCCAATTCAAGATTGAATTGCCACCCCCAACGGGCCAAGTCAGAACTGGACCACCAGACGGGGTGGTCCGGATGCCTGCACCTGAGGCCATCCCAGTCCAGGGCCAGATTGCTGAGAACCGCCGTGGGTTTCCTGGCTCCGTGCCCCAGCATACACTGGTCAAAGCAGTGTATCTTCATCCGCGTCAGGCCCGCGAAGTCTTTACACTGGGCCGTGGCCCACCCGAGGTACCTTGGTTGGCGGGATCCTCCGGGTGTTCCAGGAGGAATGCAGGGGGCCGAGGACCCGACGCCATTGCAAGGTGATAGAGGAGCAGCATCCTGAGCAAGAGCAAAGAGTCATTACCCGTATCCCTGAGCACCGACGCCGGAAGGTCTTCGAGGCCCCAGGCTGCTTGACCTTTCCTGCCCCTGACTGGGCCAGGACAGCCGACTCTGGGTACATGTCGCAGAATCGACCAAGTCCTGCAATTGGGCCCTCCAATGATTGCCATGAGGTCGCCAGAGAGCGCCAGGGCACAAAGGTCTGAAAAGGTTTCCTCAGAAAGAACATCTTGGGAGATCCCTCCCCTACAGATGTCCAATTCTCTGACTGAGGCTCCCAAGAGAGGGGCAACCTGTGCTATCGCTGCCTTGGTGCTCCTGGCATCATCCTTCCCTGCATAGAGAATGAGCACTGTAGGCCATGAAGACACTCCAGGCAGAAGTCTATCCAAGAGCCTCTGAGGGAGGCCTCTAAAGCCCGGAAGCGTAGGTAGAGCCTGGCACCAACGGTCTCGATTCCATCGGTCACCATCGCCTGCAGCTTTGGTTGAAGAACTCTTGTCCGGGGCGGGCGGCAACCGCCCCAGGGTGGACCATCTCTGTGGTACCCCCAATAGGAGCAGCCCGAGAAGTACTATGTGAATCCCGTCCCGACCCGTCCAGTGTTCGTAGGGAATCGGCACCTGAGGCAACCGTCCCCACCGACGCCAGACTAGAGCGAGGAGGTCCCGAGGCTGTCACCGCGCCACTGGCTGGGAGGAAAGAGATGGCCCCTCGCCCCTCTGCAACCCCCGGAGGGGAGGGGCCGGTTTCTCACGAGTGGTCCGCCGCCCTGTGGTTCTTCTCGCAGATCTTACCGTCTGGGAGGATCACAGGGCAGTTGTGGGAGCGACCACAGTCTCCCGGGCACCGGTTGAAGGCATGGTACTTCTTGCAGAACTCTTTGCCATCTGATCCTTTGGGGGCCCATTCTTGGTGAGATGCCTTGGTGCGAGCGAATGTCGCCGGTGGTGGAGGGGGGTGTTCCGCCGCCTCCTCCGAGCGAGTGGCCCAACGCCAGTCTTCCTTCTTAGACTTTCCCTTGCCCTTACCAGGCTTCTTGCCTTTACCTTTCCAATAGTCCCACTGCTGCCAGACTTTGCCCTTGTCCTTGTCTTTGCCCTTGCCCTTGCCTTTTCTAGGGGTTTTGGGCTGGCCAGTATGGTGGCGACGAAAGCAGAACTCATCGATTTCCATAGACCAGAATCGCGAGTTATTCTGGATTTCTTTGAGGGCGGCTGTGATGGTCAAGGTCTCATCCTTGGCCATGTTGAGGGCCACCTGGCGCCAGACCTTTCTTTCTGCTGTCATTAAAACCCCCAATGAGGGGGCAGGCTCACGGCCCATGATGGTATCCCCGAAGAGGAAGTTGTAGAAGTCGTCCAAGTCTGCCTTGGTGAGGTGAATACAAGAGGGGCCCGTGCATGTCGCCACAACCATGAGGAGGGACGTGCGCCAGATCATGAGGACCCGTTTCCATTGTTTCTCCGACTGGACACGATTGGATTCCTCATGGATCCACTCCTCATCTTCTTTGCTTGGGCGCTTCTGGAACTTCAATTCACCATCCTTGGGGTGGTTTGCAACGACCTTATTGAGATCCAGCTGGGAGCCTGAAAGGAACTCTCCCCGGTACAAGACCCTCTTCATGACACCAAGCATATGGTCAGATCCTTCGTATTCCCGCTCCGGTTCCGTGCCGAACTTGGAGAGGTAAGCTGCCCTCATTTCTTGGCGGTCACCTCTGCCAATCATTGCTTTGTAGTCTTCGACCGAGTGGATATCCACCTCGGCCAGCTTCCTTTTCTTGAGGAGCTTGAACTGCTCGACCGCGTTCTCCAGGCGGATAGCTGTGAGGACGCACGTGTGCTCATCGTAACCATTCTGGCCTGGTGAAAAGGTGAACTTGGGAGCCTCCTTCCGGAGTTCCTTTTCATCCCAACGGCCTGCCCAGTCCTGGGCCGTGACAAAGCCCTGCTTCCCCATGACAAAGAGGACAAGCCACGGGACCTGATGCCTGGCAAGGACCAGACGAACGTGCTCTTCGATTTTCATGACCTCCTCCTTGTAGGGGTCTGGGCACAGCTCCGGGGGCCGTGCCAGGGTCAGCTTGGCATCGACCTCAGCACCCGGTCTGTCCATACTGCCAGGCTGCAGGAGGGCCAGGCTTGAGCGAGAAAACCAGGAGAGGGCGGGAGGGCAAGAAAAAGAACAACACGGGAAACAACCCCGCGGTACCGAGACCCGTCGTGAGTCTGACCCAAAATGGCAGCCGGCCCGAGCAGGATGCAGAGGGAAGGCTGTTGGCTTGGCCCTATGACATGCGAGTTGATCAGTGCAAGCACGGATTCCTCTACAATTGCTGACAAAGTCAGGCCGACAGTTCGGATCAAGCTCGCAACGGGACTGCAGCATGAGGCAATGAGGCTACTGCGGCAACGGAAGTCAGTCTCTGGTCGTTGACGAGGCCGTCACCATTCCTGGGAGCAGCGTTTCTGGATAAGCACCGCCACAAAAAAACAGTCGGGACAAGGCACCCGTCCAGAAGCGACCATGCTGCCTGCTGTGAGCCACTGGACCAACGAGGAATGAAGGTGTTACATACGACATGGCATGCCTTGGCATCCTCCATGCCACGTCCTTGCCAAACTGCATGCCGACTGGGTGGAACTTGGCCAAAACTGTTGAACAACGGGCCTTCTGTATAAGGCCTGGCAACACTGAGAAATTCTTGCCGACCTCGACAAATTGTCAAGCAGACAGATGTGCCTAGCTATCCAAGGGGCAACCAGGTGAGTGCACAGCCAAGTGTGCCGTCTGAATCTGCGTCTGCGGCAAGAAGCATTGCCGCCAAGGTGGCCTATGATGAGCTTGTTCTAAGGAACTTAGAATGACACCCCAGAACTATACCCTCCATTCCCTCGTATATAACATTATATAACCCCTCTAGAATGCCTTTGGATCACCTTTATATACCCCCAGAAAGGAACTTAGGGCTGATGCAGCTGCTTTGATTAAGTTCAAGTGGTCTGCCTGCGCAGCTGCAACCGAGAAGGTTTGGGTTCGAAAGTGCAGGCTCTCAGATTTCCTGAATTTACAGCAGGGGAGGTGCGGGAGTGGGTGGGTGTGGGGTGGGTGGAGTCCGTTTCAAAAGTCTGTTTGTTGCTTCTGACAAGCAACCCAGCAGGGCCCCTGAGAAACCTGATTCAAAAGCCGTCTTTTGCTTCGAGGGCCCGGAGCCCGAAAAAAAAGCTTGCCAGGTCGTGTTCAGTGCCATGTTCCTTGGAACCAGAGGGAATTTTCCCTGGGCGTAATTCTGAATTCCTTAGACTTGTGAATTGCACATCCACCCTAGAAGTGAGCCAATAAAGCCACAAGCGGCGGGAAGCAGCTGTCGCCGTTCGGCGTCTTGAAGCTCCTGCTCGTCCACCTGGAAGGCATTCATCACTTCAATCCGCAGGCTCGACCGCAGGCAAGCCGCTAGGATCAGCAAGAACGTACTTGTGTCACTACGGTATGACCCTGAGAATTGGCAATGGCAGTGCAACTGATCATCACGCCCGAAGCCTCTCCATCATGGTTTGCATCAACATCGAACCATAGGGCATCAGCGGCACTGCTGTCATCCTCGGCTACAGCAAACTGCAAATAGAGCGACTTGGAGCTTTTGGACGGTGCCCACGAAAAATCTGAAACGACCGGACGCATGCCATGCTGTCGAACTCCTAGTCCTAGGTCCTAGATTCTCTCTCACATTGACCATCCTCTCCTTGTCGTCTATACAACCGTGTTGGAGCTGAGGACTTCACGGCTAATGCGGCCTCAAACTCTTCACGATCAAGCCTCCAGCAAGGAGCAAAATCTTGAAAGAGTTACAGAACATTGCGTGTGCCATGCTGAAAGAGAGGTCCGCCACTGACATTGGGAGTCCCAGGTCCCAGCATGCCGTTTCCGTTCCGATCCCCTTTCGAGAGCTTCTGCGCCACAGGCGCCAGATCCAAGAGCTCCTAAGCAGCGGCTCCAAAAAGAGCAGAGCCTCAGCGCCTCCGCCAGACCCCCCCCCAGATTATGCGGCACTCCTGGCAACTCTCGGACACGCTGGCCGCTCTCTGGTCAGAATCTGCACACCTGCCAGGCCGCCCTCCCCTGCCCAGACGATCGTACTCCCTTGGCAGCGCCTCCATGCCGCTTCGATGAGAGTTCTCATGACCGTCGTGGCAGTCCTGCAAATGACCATCCAGCTGCAAGCACCCAGTCATCAAAACATCACACAAGTGCCAGGTCCACCCACTGGTCCAAGTGCAGGGAAATGGATCTCCAAGCGGTTCTGGCACGGAGGGCAAAGGAGCACTGCCCGAAACCAGAAATCCAAGGCAGGTTCGGGTAGCCTCAATCTAAAATGCAATCATGCCAGGGAGGCCGTCGTGCCTTAATGTGACGTCTCGAGTGTCAGAGGTATCAGGCGCACAACACATGATGTGAGTAGGTTCGTGGCCCGTGCAACACTTGTGCCTGGACAGATCACCAGAAAGCAAACTGCTCATCCTGATGGCAGCAGGGGGCCTCCATGCGGTACAGCACCGCAAACAGGCCAAGTAGGATCAGCACTACACCGCAACAAACCTGTCTGCAATCCATGCGATACCCTCCTGGCGTGGAACTCTGCACCGAGGCTCCAGCACATCGGATTTTCGGCTTGTAGAACTTAAAGGTGCGGACCTGGGATTGGAAACTCGCAACCCAAACTTGAAAACTGCACAGGTGGGACCTGGGTGTGCCCTTGCATGCTTGGAATCAAGCTCGCTCAACGTCGTATTCGCCTCGACCTTCCCCTACATGCTGGTAGCCTGGCACCTCATGCCGCTTGCAACAGCAAGGCGTCCAAATTCAATATACAACTGGCTAAGGAGAATCACTTGAGGACACTGCCAACATGTACTGGCCCCTGCCCTCTCCCACATTGGTCCACTTTGTGGACACCTGCTTCATTCCCGCAAGCATGAGCTGATTTGACCAGACCGGCCCAGATGCAATGAAGCAGTGGCCTGATCATCTTGAAGGCATGAATCGCAACCTTGGCAGCATACCAGGATCCCTTGGGGATGACTGCATCTCTTCGGGCGTAGATGTGGACGTAAGAGGAACTGTTTCGCGGAGACGTAGAGGCGATTCTGACCAGGCTGAACAGTCACTTGTTTCCAACCCGATCGCCAAGCCACTGTTTCGGACAAGGCATCAAACGTACACCCTACTGTCAGACGTTCGGAGATTTACTGGAAGACACTTCGAGCAGCTTTACCTGGATGTTCCGTCGAGCTACTAATACATAAACAACCTAACTCAAGATTTCAGATTTCTCCCTCGATACTACCAGGACTACCACAATCTTGACATTATGTTACAAAGTGTATCACGAGTTCTTGCTGAAGCTGGAATCTGTGTTGAGCCTTCTCTTGCAGTGATTGAGTTTGCAATACAGGTGCCTTCCTGTGGAAGATGTGAGAATGGCAATTGCATGTGCCTGAGACGCTGGAAAGGGAGAGGGAGCAAGGCAAGCAGGAGGGAAAGGGGAGCTACAAAGGACCACCACGAACAGAGAGAGCCTCTTCGTGCCTTCGATTAGACTCGCAAGATCGGACGGTGAAAAAAACTCCCTTGCAAAGTTGCAGAGCTGCACATTCTCGATCAAAATCAAAACTCTCCTGGGGGATGCCGAATTCGTTGCAAAATTCAGTACTCGCACTTTGGCACTTCCCAACTTGATGAATCTCGTTCCCACGACAATGCCACGAGAACTTCCGCCACCGTCCCGTACTTTTTTTCGGCGTTCAAATTGAGGTGCTGCCAAAGCCATGCGAAGGCTCTCAGAGGCTTTTCAACGTGGTGTCAGTCGCGGAGCTTGACGTGTCGATCGCATTTTGGCTGCGACTCGCGTTTCCAACAAATATCGGAATCGTGCTCCCACCGGCGTGAAAACACTGACAAAAGCAGATCTCCTAGTCGTGAAACGTAGCTCCCATACTTGTTACGAACACATCTTCCTACGAAACAGCAACACACCTCCTCTCATCCGCATGTCTCTACTCGAAACGGCATCGGATGCCAAGATTTCCTCCGATGCCAGTCTGCCTTGTCTTCACACGAATGCAGTCTCCGGAAAGAGTTCGACCTTCATGAACCTCATTTGTCTAGGAACTACCAACCAGCTCAACCGTTCGGAAACCTGACGCGGGATGCTTCATGTTCTCTGCTGTTACATATTTTGAGAGCACAACCAGCACACGCAGTCAGCTGAAGATGGAGAGTCCTGTAGGAAGACGGAAAAACTGCCAAGAAAGGATCGGAAGACAACAAGATGTTGGAAAAATCTTGTCACTAGCCTTCACCGGTACGACTACCGCATTGCAAAGTCGGCATCCCAACTGTGCACTGAGCTTTACAAGGAGTTGAGGGGGCTTAATCGGCGAAGGACGCGGAAAAAAGAAACCTCCGCAGCGGCCGCACGTCAATCCAGTGCAGTTGTAAGTGGTCTTGTTTGGCATTTTCGCACACGCCGTCAGACAGTACTCGGGCACGCGCATTCTGGTTCGACTTTCGGCGAACCCACAACACCTCGAAAACACATCCAGCAATTTGCCAAGGTCTGCCTGCAGAGATGCTTGCTGCCCAGGCACCTTCCGGCCTATGTAGCCTTCGGGCCGTCACCGTTTCAAAGAAAAATCTCAAGCAGTCTCGAACATCTTAGGTCCAAGCTTCTCGGAGGGCAAAGAATTAGGCATGCAAGGCCAACGCGCAGCTTCCAGCTTGGGGCCCTAGACCCTGACCCTAGCTAGCAGTGTAGACCCTCACTGCTTGCAACCCCCGCCCTGTCTCATCCTCTGGGCTTCTCATCATGTGATTCCGACTAGACCCTTCACTTGACGGTCCGGTGACTGATGCCCGACGGTGTGGAGCATGGCTTCTTCTCTGACTCGGCAGGTCCGTGCAATTTCATGGTCATCAAATGGTATGCAACTCACAGAGCGGCAAAGAGCGGCGCGGTCACGAGCACACTCAGCTTTGGCAGCATTAGCATGCATTCTGGCGCTCCAGCTTGCAAGGGTGAAACTACAACTGATCCAGTGCGGAGCTTCGCCACCTTGGCTTGTCAGTGCACACAGTGCAAGGACTGTCATCAGAGAAGAGTCCGCACCACGCGGAAGCCCAATGCTGTGTGGACAGAGAGTCTGAGGCAGCCACAATTGGAACGGCGTGAATTCTCCAACTTATTTAAGTTGACTCCACCGGCGCAGCCAGCCAATAGAGGTGTGAGACGTACGCATCTTTTTTACTATACACACCGAGCAGACAGCCTCGCACACTGACGTCGAAGCAGTCAAGCTATGCTTCAATAGCATTATGCGATCATTCTCGGCTCGTGTTCCAGACAACTGTTAGATGGCGAGCGTCAACACAAAATCCTGCACTCACCGAGCTGTTTTTGCTGATGAGCACAGGCACATATCAAAGACTTTGCACAATATCAAATTGCAATCCCATGCCGCTGACTATTACGCTCCAGTAGAAGACTTTGGCACCGGATGACGGAAAAGAATACATAGCATCCCCTGTTGTAGGGTCTGCTATCAGAGCAAAAAGTTTGTCGAATAGGATGCAAATCCTCGCGGTCCATCCTGACACGAAGCACAGCGAAACTTGAAGCTGGATCACGAGATGCACAGACCACCCAGCCTCATTTGCCCTTGCTGCCGCCGAACATGACGGTATGTATGTGATGCACGACCTTGGAGCCCTCTGGGAGGTGCTTGGCGTGCCCGGTGTGTCCCCCTTCTCTGTGAAGGACGCTAGAAACGCCCGTTTTGCCATCGCGGTGGTGATGGTCATTGCTGTCGTGGTGGTGGCCGTTCTGGTGATGGTCTTTGTGGCCAGGGTGATGCTGTTCACTGACATCCTTGACAGCATGTGGCAACTCGGTGCTGCCGGCAATATCGTCGGCCACATACTTCAAAGCTTTCGGATACCTCCGGTCAGCATACTTCAAGCCTTCTGGATACCTCCCGTCAGCCGGAGATAAACCAGAGTATGAGTCGTCATAGCTGTAGTGGTAGCTGTGCGGATACTCAATGTCCCCATCTGTGGTGACATACTGATCATGTGCAGGAACTTCGGGAGCGTCTGCGTCACTGTATACGTACTGCGTTGAATGAGCCTTACTGGCACGAAGCTGCTGCGGCAGGGTTGAGCGACACACGTCTAAGCCCCGGACATCGAAATGACAGCCTTTGTTGTGGTAAAGGCAGCAGTAGTCCTGGAACATAGCAAACCGCGAAATCGCAGTGGCAAACAAAGCTGAAAGCCAGCAACCTGTTTCTCACTTGGCCATGACTTCTTGGAGCCAGCCTGCCATCAACTACGACTGCCTACGATACAGGCACTCGTCCGCAGTTTTACATTGAAAGAAGCGCAACACTGCTGCTGCTGGTGGTTTGCCAACAGCTGTGATCACGGTGAGAGTAGGGGCTGAAGAGGCCAAGGGCCGCACATCGCAGTCAAAGTGGCCCTGCGACGAAACAACGAGGACATGCTGAAATGTTTGCTGGTCTACCCTCTGGGTAGCGAGCATGATGGTCGCAACCGAGATCTCTGTGAGCACAGCACCAGGCAGTCTTTGCGGGATGCCAAACTCGGAAGCATCAGGTACGCATCCAGGACAACCCCAACCTTTTGCACCGCGAACACGGTTAAGGAGCGGACGAGTCTTCCAGTTGGTGAGGCCATCCTTAACCAATCTCTGCACGTAAACTTGGCAGAATCGCATCCTACACTGCTGGCACTGAGTCGCAGTCATGGCAGTCGTAATGCATAACGAAGGCAGCCGGTTGTGGATGTTGATATGCCGGCGATGGAGATTCGTCCTTCGGCTTCATGTGGAGCTAAACTTATGCAAACTGCTACCCGAACAGATAGCTCGTGCTCCAACATGACGAGGTGCCGTGACATCGTGCCATGCCTGGCCTAGTTCTGAGGGTGACTCCGAAGTGTTGTCAGCCGTGTCATGAAGGCCACCGACACTGGTACTTGCCCACTGCGTCGTCGTAAGACGCAGCAAGTGACTCATTTTCACGGGCCGCTGCACTGCAAGAAAAGGGACAAAATAATCTCTCTGATTACAGCACCGACCCTGGTACGCAACCCAAAGCTCGCAGCTTCATCAACTCATGTTTCTCGCACATGGTTTGCTGGTTTGTCACATCCAATGTGTGATCGAAACTCATGGTTGCAGACCCCTCGCTCGGATGCGGCCGGAAGCCAGACGGGCCAGAAAGCTGCCCTTGTGCCCGTGACCTCTTAGCACCTCTGCGCCGGAGCTTTCCAGCTTTGAGATTCTGCCAGCTCTGGACAGAGAAGATTACAGGCCTACTTCCCTGTATGGTTTGGTACAGTACCTTGTCGCGACTACATGATGTCCAACCGTGAATTACCAAATCTGCACAGATCGCTTTCAATTGAATGTCATGCTTGGCATCCGCTCGTGTACGATGTCCTTGCATCCTCGAGCATAGTTTGAGCAACAGAACTCCTGTCCGACGACGCAAACACATAAACAGGCCTTCTGGAGATGCAAGACATGAGGCGGTCTAGATCGGAGGTATGCCTTCTTGTCTTTCTCCCAGGAATCCACGTCCTCTGGCCATCCCTCGCGGCCTTGGACAAGCGGACATATCGCGGAGGCCGAGGTAACGTGGAGAGCACTCACTTACCGAGGTTGTTGCAGTTGAATTTCGGCCTCGACAGCTCAACGATAACAAGAAGCTTCGACTCCCTCACACTCTTTTTACAGTCTCCCTCTTGGAAAGAACCACAGATTTGAGCGAAGACTCAGAAGCTAAGGCTGATGCTTGGGGATCGTGACATCCTCGCAGCCTGCGTGATGC